TCATCGCACCTCCTCTCAAACCACACAACAGAATTTCACGAAACCTTTTTAGATAAAAAGGACATATTATGTAGTTGTGCATATCGACAGGAAATTACGATTCAATTTTTTTTCTAGGAGTTACGCCCCTTTGAACTTATTTGCTTCAATGTACTACTGCAACAGTTTGTCATCGCAACTCCTCTGAAACCACACAACAGAATTTCATGAAACCTTTTTAGATAATAAGGACATACTATGTAGATGTGCATAAAGACAGGAAATTACCATTCAATTTTTTTCTAGGAGTTACGCCCCTTTAAACTTATTTACTTTAATGTACTACTGCAACAGTTTGTCATCGCAACTCCTCTGAAACTACACAACAGAATTTCATGAAATCTTTTAAGATAATAAGGACATACTATGTAGATGTGCATGTTGACAGTTACACCCCTTTGAACTTATTTGCTTCAATGTACTTCTGCAACAGTTTGTCATATCCACTCTTCTGAAACCACAAAACAGAATTTCATGAAACTTTGTAGATAATAAGAACATACTACGTAGATGTGCATATCGACAGGAAATTACGATTCATTTTTTTCTAGGAGTTACGCCACTTTGAACTTATTTGCTTCAATGTATTTCTGCAACAGTTTGTCATCTCCACTCTTCTGACACCACACAACAGAATTTCATGAAATTTTGTAGATAAGAAGGACATACTATGTAGATGTGCATATTGACAGGAAATTATTATTCAATATTTTTTCTTATACAATTTTTTTTGTTACACTTATTTAATTTCTCCAATGACAATGTGGGGACGTGGGGTATGTGAGCGTGCTCACTAAGGTTCTTTAATTTTTATATCAACCCTGCCTTAAAATCAGGAGCCTGTACATAGTTCAGTGGTTGATGTTGGTTCACGTCCGTCATATTTGTTTTTTCATAACTTGTTTTTTTTTATAAATTAGTCTGGTATATTTGAAGTTTGAATTGATGTTTTGTTCCACATTTTGTTTGTGGTGTCTTTTATAGATGACTATATCATGTATAGGGTATGGGTTTTCTCATTATTTACAGGTCATCATTGGCCTCTAATAAGTAATTGCATTGCTTACATCCACTTGATTGAACTCTGGTGGATAGTTTTCGCATTTATCATACCACATCTTTTTTCATAATAATCATTATTCAACATGTTCAAGGGCAATAACTTTTATAGAAGTGGACTTACCATTTAGGCTTTGTTGACGTCTGTAAATCTATTTTTGTTGATAATTTCTTTTGTTTATAGTTTCCCTTTATCTTTAATGTTCTTGCCCTACACATAAAAGGGTAAACATCATTTAATGACAATAACTACTATTACATAATTAAAAATTACACCACTCCAGACCCTTTTGTTTTCCACATAATTAATATTGCCAATAATTAACAAGTTCCGGGTCGAATCGGATACCGATACCAATAGTATATTCATTTGTTACCTATTACCTTATCTGTACGTTCCGCATCTAACAGGCGCACCACCAAACGGTGTATTTAAGATTTTGCTATATACACGGGTCATAATCACAGGGTTGACACTACTAAAATCAATAATTGTCACATTGTTCCCTATTGTAGTATTTTAATCAGTATGACTTTCTAAAATGACAATACGAATACTAAAATTTGGACTTAAAATAAGGCGTATAGGTACAGTTTTCAATTTGTTAGCCGGCATGACGTAAATAAAAAATCAAAGAATTCAACTTTATTTATAACTAATATAGGACAATGTTGTTGATTAAAAAATATTCCATTCCAGGCCCTTTTGTTTTCCAAATAATTAATATTACCAATAATTGATAAGTTTCAGGTCGACGGGTTCAAACAGAAAGATTTTGAAAGCAGAGAAAACTGTGCATCTTATAGCATGACTTTATCAGTCCAGATGACAATACCAATACTAAAACATGGCTTATATACATAGTTATATACTTTGATTCAGTCACGGACCCGCTTTATCACGGGTGTGTTCTAGTAGTGTGTTAAAATTACATTGTTAGGCAATCTATAATTTTATTTGTGTAATTGAATTAATCTATGGGATTAATCCACACTTCCAAATAAACGCAATATTTCGCTAGACCAACTAGCTTTATCAAGCGTGCATCTATCTCTCTATATATATATGTATAAGAATAAAGTGTGTTTACCGACCGTGCAAGGACTGTATAGCCAGTCAAGGTCGTTAAAAACTTCCATTTGTCGTATTTATATGTAATCGTTAATTGGAGTTGGTATTTCAAGGAATGTACAGCTTGTTGTCGAATCACATATTGTGTATTTTGTATGATGATATGTTTGTAAATAAACTTAATAATATTTATAAGGCCTTGTTATCAGCATTACTTGTGTGGATAATTCCGTGATCACCTCAGTGGTTTACGCCTATATATTCATGAGTTTTTGGTACTTCTATGGAGCATGCAACGATTGCTGTAATATGTTTCATTTTAACGCACTTTGTGACAATACAAATAAATAATTGGATTTTTATAGACTTTTGCGTTATAAAATACACGCGGGTTCTGTCAAATATAAACACACAAATTACCGATACAAGTAACTAAACAAACTTGTTTATGTATTGGCCCACGAATGTTTGCATTATATCATCGGATAAGTTAGTGGACACCATTGCTGAAAATATATGGTTTAAACTCTTTGACGTTTAAATTTGTGCAAAAAGTACAACCTTAGGGTTTACTTTTCAAGGCAAACGTAACAAAAAAAGCTAGAACACTAACTCGACATTTGACCCTCGGCCTTTTCCTCGAAACAATGATTTGTGGAATGGTGGATGGATTCATTGGTTGCTTTATCGATTGATTGGTGGACAAGATTGGGTCTCTTGCAACAAGCAACGCACGAAGGTGTATCTTTTAAACCAAGGGACCGAAACCGGATGGATTGTCTCACTTCGATATGTTGATGACCTGTGAGAACATCTCTATTTGTTTTAGCAAGTTAAGATTCTATTTTTATAAATGCTTGCTCGGCTGTTTAGACACGGGAAGAATCATATTCGTATATTTTCTTCTTAATTTTAGTCAGTTCATTATTGAAAATCTGCATGCAAGATGGCACCTTTCTTGTTAAAACTTGGTACCTTCTGAATCAGTTACTTGTAATGGCGTTTGCTTGATGATAAGTAAAAGAAACGGGCATCTACAACCTTCAAAAGCTCATCAATTAGGATTTGATTCGTTATATGAAGAAAAGCTACATCTCGAGAACATATTTTACCTCCGTGATGCTCCAAGCCAAAATATTTTTATAAAATTTAGGCCAACAAACATTGAAGAAGAAACTTAAATCAAAACGGCAAAAAAAAAAAACCCATAATACCCAGTAAGAAATAAGATCTACGCATCGGAGCGACACATTCCAGCTTACTGTTTACGAGTAAACACGTGTTGCATGCCATAGAATATTTCTCTCTTCATTTATACCTTATTTCAAATACTTTAATGGGATTACTATCTGTAGTATGTCACATTGTCATGTTGGTCTTGTTAATGCTGATGTTTCATCGGAGCAATGAGAAGCAGACAAATATGAAACGCAGGACAAAATCGTTGACTATTGTCTTGCTCAAATTGCAAGACTAGTCTGTATTGCTAATTTGGATGCATATTTCATACTTATGTGAAATACATATTGATTCAGACAGAATGTAGACGATCAAACCTCCAATTATTCGAAGAATGAGAAAATAAGTATACCCCATAGAGAGACAAGATGCCTATAACAAGGACTGTTTCGTACACTGACACTCATACCACATCTTATATCTATTATGTGAAGATGTTCATTTTTCTCACAAATAAGAATATACACGTCATCTTCATAAATATTGCAAACACCGTTAATAGATGTTAAGTCATATTAGCAAAAACAAACTCCATATTAAAATATATGGTCGCACTGCTGACGAAATACTAAGAACTAGGAAACTGCAGTTACATTACAAGTGTATATAATAATTATGTATTGGTTTCTTTCATGACATAGTGCCAAGAACGCGAATGAACGGCGGATTTCCGTATAGGTTATACGAATAGGTGGCCTTCCCAAGCATATAGGGTCACCAATTTGAGTGAGTTTTGCGTTTCTTAGTTTAGTTTAGCTCTGTATAGCGAGTTTGTAGTGCTCGTTTCGTCTCCTTGGTGTATACTGCCTTTTCATTTTAATTGTATTTAAGTGCAATTGCGTTGTTAACGTGTTACTTTTTATAAAAAAAATATATAATAAAATGTTATCATTTTTAATAATCATTGCATATTGGTATGGTACATATTGGTAAGGTACCAGAAACATATCCTCGACACTGGCATCGTTTAAACTATATTCTGTTTTTTTACATCCATTCTGAAATTTAAAAATAACACATTTAGCACTTTATATCATTAAATGTAACACATCTTCGACAGTTCGTACAACACAAAACTATAATATGAATTTGATGTAAAAGTAATTAAAATAAGCATGTTTTATTTTACCTTGCATTTTAAGATAAAATAATAACCAAAAAAAAAAAGCCGTCGCGTTCATTTCGATAATACAAATACTAAACTAAAGACGCGATATTCTCATTTTTAATTTGGAAAATGTCATAATAGACGCACTATTATAGTCATTTACATTCTCATTTACGTATTTCTCACTGATGCGTGAGAGTTATATGCAAGAGAACCAATATATTTCAAAAGTATTCCAAAAAATTCTTTTTACAGATTTTTGTTTATTAATTATTCAGAGATACTTATCGACGCCATAACGATAAATGAAGAGCAGTCTTGTTTTTTCAACTAAACCGTTTATGATTTTATGTGTAGAGAGAAACATATCGGACCAAAAGTAAAAAATACTTACATTTCGATTACTTCTTCTCTCTTCCTTTTAGCACGAATGTTTGTATTATTGACAAATATCCGGGAAGGGAACACTGCTATGAGCATGGCTTAAGGAATGCTGTAATACTGCTCTTGTACCTCTATTAAATTGCTGAAATTCAAAAATAGACTTATATTAATTTATATGAAATAGTATGTGCAAAACATTGCTTTTTATATCTCCCTTTTTCACACTATTACATTTATTTTACTCCCATCGAGCTATCCCACGTTTATCTTAAAATCTAAAAATTCATTATAGTTTCATACACTTTACGTAGAAGTTTTATTGTCATTGCGGACGGCTCTTATATGAGACTTCGAAATTTCCTTGTGTATTAAGATAAACGATGGAAAGTAAATATTTAACATTTTTCCTATATTATTGGTAGTCTTCATCTTCAAGGAGTGTCTAACTTTTTAATGTTTCTCTTACAAATATTGGTTACCTTGAAGAAAACATTTAGGACAAATACTTTTGACATGTGTTGTACAAATGTAAATGATATTTAGAATTTCAAACCCTTCTATCGATAGAAATACACAAAATATTGTATGCAAAATTTGAAATAGTAGGTCTTTAGTATTTCTCACTATAGTTTAAAGTAATTTTTCAATTTTACGGATATATTTTCTCTAGTAGTTCCGAAAAATTGTTTTTAAAAAACTTTCGCTAAACTCGAGAACTTCCTACGCATTCATTAAATTACACACTAATATTTTATGGCAATGCGAAAGGCGCAACGTAAGATATTGTTACTACCATGAAAAACAGCACTAAATGAAATGTCCCAGGGGAAATTCAGTTTGGAAACTTGAAATATTCCAGTTAAAAGAAATGATTAATTTATCAAATTGTAAGCACAATTGTTTTGTACTAGATGTAAGCTTTAAAAACTCAAATTATCAAAGAAATTTAGCTACAAATTCAATTAAAACCAATCAAATGCTCAAGCAATTCAAAAATTCTTAAAAGGGTCGACACAAGTGTCGTGCGATACGTTAAGCTATTAAATCGGGCTTTGCTGTTTTTTTTTGTTTTTTTTTCTATGTACAAAAACAAAATCTTTCTTTACGATAGCCATAAAATAAAATGACGTGCCGCCAGGGAAAACGTACCTTTCAAAAGAAACCGACTCGACTACTCCCTCAAGTAGCCCTGTTTCCTCTTCTAGGTCTTCCAATAACTGCAATAATACAAATTAATTTCTGCTTTACTAAATACTAAATCATATTTAAAAAAATTTCTAATTCCTTGAATCAAGCTTTTGAATACATCCATCATATATTATTAGTTACATAGTGTGCTAGTGACCTAATACGGTATATATGGGGTCAGTAAATTCCATATGGGGTGAAAGCGAAGCTCGAATCCCCATATGGAATTATTGACCCTAAATATATACCGTATGACGTCACTAGCACACTATGTAACGAATTTATCTTACCGACTATCTTAACGTGTGGAATTTAGACTAGAGACCTATCAAAATGAGCAAGTCTTCAATACCGTTAGCATTAAGAAAATACTTCCATTGATCCTACAAAAAACAGATGCAACAATAACAATTTGTTAGGTTTAAATGTGTTTTATGAATTTATTTCAATCTTCATCATCAATTTCTTCGTCTGTTGAAACCTTTAAGATTTTTTCTCAGTACCGTTTTGTTTTATAAAGGGACGTAACACCACAACTAACCGTGTATGAAATAAGCCCCGCCTCCCTACTAACCTAATATGGAATAAGCCCCGCCTCCCTACTAACCTAATATGGAATATACACGGTCTCCACGCGGACGATTTTAACCAATCAAATTCCTAGAAATGTAAAGGAGGTAAGATAAATATATATATGATATATGATATTCATATATTAAAAAAGAGAAATATATGATATATGATATTTATATATTAGAAAAGAGAAAAACGCGGCAAATGAACCTCATAGTAGTTATTATAACGTAATGTATCCAAGCGATGTAATTGTTGTTTCAATGTTATAATTCATTCCAATGAAGAAGGCCGTAATTGCCGAAACGTATGGGAATTTGTGTTATAGTTTTTATTATATATATATATATATATATTTACATATGGTTTGATTTTTCTTGTTTATATATACATATGATTCGTCTAATAAGTGTCGCAGAAACTCTCCGTCCAATCTCAGTAATTGTAAAAGTATATCATAATGATTATTGGTCAAATTACGATCTTGCACATGTTTATACATACAGTATCGAGTATGTGAAATGTTGAAAAAGAAAGTAGTCTCTGGCATCGGACTCAGACTTCTTTTAAACCGAGTTTTACTGAAGTTGTATTCTGTTCTGGTTATTCTACATTGGCCAGAGGTATATGGGGAGGGTGGAGATCGTGCGAGGGCTGTATAGCAAAGCAAGGTCGTTAAAATCGTCCATCATATCATAAAACATGTTCAACACCGCCGTATTATTGCGCCTGTCCAAAGTCAGGAGCCTCTGGCCTTTGCAAGTCTTGAACGTTTTTTTAATTATTTATTATTTTTAATTTTATTAGATTTATATATGTTTTAGAGTTTAGTATAACGTTCATTGTCGTTCTTCGTTTGATCAAAGGATAAAACTTAATGAAAAAAAGATGAAAACGAATAAGTATACCAAATACCTCAAATGTTGTTGAAGGACAGGCGTTGTAACACCTGCATTCATGAAAATCATTTGTGGGTACAATGTTCTTTATTTCATACATCTTTACGGCCTAGAGATGGCAGCCACTAACACTCTCTGCCGCTCCATTCCAGGCCGTCAACTTGGCTGTACGGCCACCATACTTCAGTTGTATTTCCCTCCTCTTGGAACCATTTGATATCTGGATTTCCCCGATCTACAATTCATGAATATTAAAGTTAACTTAGTTGGAATTAACTATCCATCTCCATTCAATTGTAAAAGGTTATTATGGTATCAGATGAAAAAAAAATGTATATACTTTTTACAGTTTTTTAATTTTGAAAAAATGTATAACATTGAACCTAAAAGGGTCATTATCACTTTATAATCACAGCGTAAATTTGAAAGATTGGGATTTGATTTTGTAAATACTAGCAAAAATTGTCATATATACACACTCAAAACAAAGGGAAATTATCGAGAGAGAAAAATCGCGACTTTGATACGAAATATTAAAGCTGTGGTTGAAATGTTATTTTGCACAGAAGGCGTTTCAAACAAGAGATATGTTGTGTAGAAGAATACTATTGTAAAACTGAGAGAATATAAAGTTGAAGACCCCAAAAATCTCATTTCTCTGGATTGAACAATATATGTACATGCATGTTGGTTACTATGTTATTCGTATTATAACATATTTGGCTAACATATGATTAAAATATGTTATTTTCTGTGGATATTACTCTGAAATAGTCTGTTTATATTGCGACTTAAGTAAAGAAATATCGACTTTTAATACATACACTTATAATGCCAAAAAAAAATTGCTTTTTCAAAGCTACCTCAGTTGGATTAAGTGGACTACATGTTTTCATTATCTGAAATAAGGAATTCGTGATGCAGTTTGTTACTATTTCATGGATATTGAAAATAATGTTGTACTAGTATATTAAACAAATAAGTACAAACAATGCAAAAGAGATGTGTAATTTAGATAAATTCATATTTGGATCTTTTAAGCTTAACACCGAAATGCTAAAATAATGCATATGTATTACTACAACACCTTCTGCTATGCTGTCACATAGTTTGTGTTATGTTTGTAATTATGTATTTTATGTATTATTGATATTTATGCAATTCAAATGTATACCTATAGTTTACATATAGACTTTGGTAATGAAAATATATATTACTAGTATCGTCTGCCTATTTTGCTTCAAAATCTGTAAGACTTCAAAAATTATTTCATTGATTGCATATAAGGGTAGACCTAACTTTCTATAAAATGAATATATATATATATATATATATATATATATAAACATGTCTAAATTGAAAACAACGTTCAAACCTATGATTGCGTTGGATAAAAACCGCAATTTTTATACGTGTGCATGCAAAACAAATATCTTGTTAGAGGGGTCTTAATACAGCACAAACAACATTTTCCAAAAGACCAAAAAAGTGAAAAAGTATATTATAACAAAACGCATTTGACTAACAGGTCGAACAACAAATGTTCTTAAACCCTGCTGACTGCCATTGGCGATTGCCAAATAAACGGATCACCGATGTAATAAATGGATCTTAAATATAAATTTAATACTAAACAGAAAACAATAAACTTGCGGAAAAGATGTTATACGGCAAACAAAAGGTGCAAAGGTTTTTGTACACCATATCCGGATTTCGACAATTAATGTCTCTTCAGTGATGTTAGGAATCGAAACGGTATTTGGAAAGCCATACAATTTACCTCAATTTAGGATAGACTCCTGAATTTTGAGGAGTCAAAATAGGATGAACGGATCATATAAACCCGAAGGCAAATATAATAGAAGCCAAAACGAAAAAATATAAACATGTCTAAATTGAAAACAACGTTCAAACCTTTGATTGCGTTGGATAAAAACCGCAATTTTTATACGTGTGCATGCAAAACAAATATCTTGTTAGAGGGGTCTTAATACAGCACAAACAACATTTTCCAAAAGACCAAAAAAGTGAAAAAGTATATTTTAACAAGACGCATTTGACTAACAGGTCGAACAACAAATGTTCTTAAACCCTGCTGACTGCCATTGGCGATTGCCAAATAAACGGATCACCGATGTAATAAATGGATCTTAAATATAAATTTAATACTAAACAGAAAACAATAATCTTGCGGAAAAGATGTTATACCGCAAACAAAAGGTGCAAAGGTTTTTGTACACCATATCCGGATTTCGACAATTAATGTCTCTTCAGTGATGTTAGGAATCGAAACGGTATTTGGAAAGCCATACAATTTACCTCAATTTAGGATAGACTCCTGAATTTTGAGGAGTCAAAATAGGATGAACGGATCATATAAACCCGAAGGCAAATATAATACAAGCCCAAACGAAAAAATATAAACATGTCTAAATTGAAAACAACGTTCAAACCTATGATTGCGTTGGATAAAAACCGCAATTTTTATACGTGTGCATGCAAAACAAATATCTTGTTAGAGGGGTCTTAATACAGCACAAACAACATTTTCCAAAAGACCAAAAAAGTGAAAAAGTATATTTTAACAAAACGCATTTGACTAACAGGTCGAACAACAAATGTTCTTAAACCCTGCTGACTGCCATTGGCGATTGCCAAATAAACGGATCACCGATGTAATAAATGGATCTTAAATATAAATTTAATACTAAACAGAAAACAATAATCTTGCGGAAAAGATGTTATACCGCAAACAAAAGGTGCAAAGGTTTTTGTACACCATATCCGGATTTCGACAATTAATGTCTCTTCAGTGATGTTAGGAATCGAAACGGTATTTGGAAAGCCATACAATTTACCTCAATTTAGGATAGACTCCTGAATTTTGAGGAGTCAAAATAGGATGAACGGATCATATAAACCCGAAGGCAAATATAATACAATATATATTAACAGATAATATCAAAGACGAAAATTAAAAGGTTGAAATTGCAAAATGTTAATGAAATTTGCAAAACATTATAAACAGAATATTTAATGTCCCCTTTATGCAAAGAATAGGTTTTGTTTCTTTCGAAATTTTTCAACTTTTACTTGAACTCTAGATCCCCGTCATGTCATTCGCGACTTAAATATTAAACTTTAAATATTTTTTTTATACAACTTACAACTGTGTCATGCTTAATCTGATATCCATAAGTTGTATCGTGGTACAGTTTTATGAATTTAATCTGGTCATCTTTATTGAGCTGCTCAGCCTTTTTGTCCTTAAAGGTTGAAATTTGACACACTGTGTCATCAATAATTGCCCATACGGTGTGCTTCAGTGATTTCCCGTCAGGTGAGAATTTGCTCCTGATCGGAAATGACACCAGGTCCTCTAGGATATATGCTTTGATATTCTGAAATAAAAAAAAAGTTTTCCTAAACTAAAATAGAATGGGGCTCAGTCAAGCACGACACAATGAAATGTTAAAAAAGAAATAGTTTATGGCTTGAAATAGATTAATTTCAGCTTATTTTACATAAATTGAAGACGTAAGCATGGATTAAAGATGCAAAAATATTTGTCTGGTCGGCGAGGTTTGAACACACACTAGTTTGCATACTGAGTTCTAAGGAAGCGTAACAGCCTAACCATTACGCCATCAACTCATAAATAGATAAAGGTTTAAAGTAATATTTATACATTAGACATATTGAAATAAAAAAAAAAAGTTTTCCTAAAACTAAAATTGAATGGGGCTCAGTCAAACACGACACAATGAAATGTTAAAAAGAAATTGTTTATGGCTTGAAATAGATTAATTTCAACTTATTTTACATAAATTGAAGACTTAAGCATAGATTAAAGATGCAAAAATATTTTTCTGGTCGGCGAGGTTTGAACACACACTATAGTTTGCATACTGAGTTGTAAGGAAGCGCAACAGTTTTTCTATTATAAAATTTTATTCACATATTTACAAATAAAAGTGATTCAGCAAATCTCTGAGATCACTGTAATAAAAACAATATTTGTTAGTTTTATCCCTCAAATTGTTAGTAATTGTTTTTTGAATTCCATCCAGATACATATTTTGACCAAACAAATAATGATTATTCATTAAATTATAATAAGAGTTACAACAGAAAAAAACACAAATTACTGTCTTTTCATCATATTGTCATTTTGCCGTCTCAGGCGAGGTAACTCGTTCTTTATTTTTAGAACAATGAAAGTCCACAGTAAAAAGAAAAAAGAAATAATATTTCACCAAATAACATAGTCAGTCCTTCTTATATAAGAAGTTGAAAACTGTTTTGGTCATATCGCATAAGTAGGTTTTTATTAACATAATATTTCTCGAAAAGAGGCAATCTGTTGTTCGTGATGTAATATGTAAATGCATACAGTACATACTTTTTCATGGTAAAAATAAATAACCTTTTTATATCAATGTCTTTGTCATCAAATACTTTTATTTGACTAGATTTATATATAGATATCCTTGCTACACTGAGCAAAAAGTTCACAAAATATGTATTTATTTCTTTTGTATTCTTGAGATACCCATGTAATAATAATTGTGTGTAATCCAGAATTGGATTAAGTGTATCTTTTAAAAGTACATTGTGTAGAATGTCAATTACATACGATTTGAAATTGACAAGCGAGGGGCAATTAGCCCATAGATGAAACATGTCTTCTGGAGCTGCTCTACATGACAAGCACGTGCTGTTATCATGTTTACCTATTCGACACAGTTTACTGAGTGTAAATATAGTATTTGTCACCACCCTATAATTAAGACTGACACATTCGGGTGGAAGATGACATTGATTGACAACCAAATACAGATATTTAAAACACATTGAAGGATAATGTTGAGTCCAGAAATGTTCCGACGTTGGCGATTCAGAAAACTTTTGTAGGAGGAGCTTACAAAAAATTTTGGTAGTAACTTTTGAAAATTCTATCATTTTAGTTCCGACCGTCAAGGAGGGAAGCTTGTCTACGTTGACAGGATTAATTGCGTTTAAATCGTTTTTCCACAGTTTAGGAATAGCATTTAAAATTTTGGCGTACGCTTCAGCTATAATCCGACTTTGTAATTCTGG